ACTGGGTCAGATTCTCTGCTGACGTGATTCAGTGTAAATCAGAGTTTTGATTGCCAGCCCATGAACAGATTTATGTCTATTAATACATGTCCGTATTGATTTGCTGACTATTGCTTTCTGTTGTGTGCATGTAGGGTGCATTTCAAACAGAAACCTCTACGTTTTTGGTGCAGTGTGGAAGACTGAGGATTGTTACCAATGCAAGTGTAAGATGAATGCGATGGTTTGCTGCAGCTTGTAAGTTCCCCCAAATTATTCTTGCATATTAAGGAACTTGTTGATATGTTCAGACTTAAAGAGCCTTGGTGAAAGCCTGAGCTTGAATATCATATTCACTTGAGCAAAATTCCTCTTCCTATATCTCAGTTAGCTCTAATCACAACTAAGTAGCAGCTCCTCAGTATTGATGTTAATGCAGTGAGCCAAACCAATCCATAATGTCGCTTGCTACAGGACGGCTGTAGCTCATTAAGCATCCTTATTTCTGTCCAGGTCTTGGCTCCTGATTTGTCTCCTTGCCTTTCTCAATGACAGGGTTTCAGTCCCCAAGAACTATGACAGAGTGAACTGCGTTGGTCTCTTCCACAAGAAAAGCTGCTCCATCCGAGTTGTGAAGAAGACTAATCCTGACATAAGCTGCAAAGTCTACAATGGGGTTGGTTAAGGCTGTTTGATGTGTTTGTCCTCTTTCTTCTGCACATCCCCTGGAAGTTAGATATATTCTACATCTCTTACTTAGAGAAAATAAGCAAAGCAGCATGGTTTCATGAGGAATGGGTTCATGTCTTTCACAGCTCTAGTTGTGCCATCTGTCTTATTTGTGACACTAGATGGTTGTCTTATTATATACACATTTGTAACAAGGCTTTACCACAGATAATTTTGTGACTTTTTTTTTTCTGTTGGGATGCAGAGTTAAATAAATTTTCACATATATCAAATGATTTATTTTTCTTCCAAGCACTCACTGAATAGTCTTGTTAAAAACAGAAGAATTCATGGTATCTGTAAAAACGTGGCAGTGAAGCTAAATATTGATTTTGAAATAATCTAGCAATTAGAGTAATCATTATTACACAAAGCTGCCAGACAAACGGATTCATTATGCTGTTACACTCATTGACATTTCTCCCAAGGACACGTGGACTAGGAGAGCAGGATGGAACAAAACAGAAAAAAGACCTTTGAAAGCCTCTTCCACCTTACTGTCTTCTGTAGGTCAATCCATTAGCGCAAATATACAAGGAAAAATATTTTCAGGAGGTAAATGGTATCTTACAAAAACAGCCAGCTCATGCCTTAGAATCCAGCCTATTGCAAAGAAATGCCATATAAATAGCTCTGTAGCTTTCCATTCCGGGGTAGAATTTCCTGCAATAATCTTGTTTGGATCAAAGTCCAGTGACAAAGAACCCTGTGAAAGCTGTTTGTATGGAAAACCTAGACTATAAAGCATGTTTAGAGAGTAGGCTTCAGGCACGACTCTGTGCCTGGTGCAAAGTCCATGAGAGTGGTTTTTATGAAAAATATCCTATAAAACATGTTTAGACAATATGAATAGCAATTATAATAAGAGCACCGTACAGCACGAAAAGCCCATATAAATTGTTTAGTGGGTTCAGTTTATTTAAGAGTAACACGTAGATGTTTTCTTCATGTTCTTTTTCTACCTTGCTGAAGTATATTACAAGGGCATATTTCAGCTGATGGAAACCCAATATGTTCTGCATATCTGTTGAGGAAAAACAGTCACACAACCTGTTTTCAAAGGCAGTGCTGAGAGCGTGCAAATAGAAAAGCTGTACATACTAAGGAACACTGTTTACTAAATTTTAGAAAAAAACTCATTCATGGTTCCAGGTACTTCCAGAAAGTCATTAGGGTGATCTGAGAATCTAAGTGAAATGAGAAATGCAATCTTAGATCCTTAAATCTGTGTCCTTCAGGATTAGCTAGACCTTCTTGGTAGTAACTCCTTCAGACAATACCTCGCAGCCCCTTCTTGGAAGGCTTAGCATATGCATGGACTATGTGCTGCTTTTTGCTACATTTTCTCCGCAGTATATTTGTCATTAAGTACCTTATACTGTTTAAGAGTGCCAGAAAGATCAGGACTCCAAATGCTGAACCACAGTTTGATTTGCTGAATGTGTTCTTGGCGAACTAGCCTCCCAAATACCAAGCGCAGAGGAGAGAAAGAGAGACAGAGCACCAGGGCTCCATCAATGAGGACCAACGTGGATGGAAGGGACTCTCAGAGCATCCAGGGTGCAGTCATAATCCCAGCGCTGTGACATCCCCCTCACTCACAGGAAGGTGCTAACTGTACCAGTGAATGTTTGTTGGCAGGGGCCTTGCTATTACCGTAACCTCTTTCAGAAAGGAGGTCTAACCATCACAAAGAGTGCTGTTTCCCATGCATCCCCCCCAGAAACATGTCGTCTTTGGATAGTCCGAGCATTACATAAAAGTACAGCAGAGGAAAGAGGCCAGATCTCTATTGTCTTCCTGTATCAGGGGCGCACACTGTGGGCAGCAACGGGAGCATGTGTGCTTATCACTGAGGTGGGAGGGCAGGCTCACACCATGCCAGCCACAGTTTTACTCCTTTCCCTATCAACAGCAAACAAGGGCTGGTCCGTTGATTGCTGGACTATGTAAACCTATTGACATGAACGGGAACAGCCGGCCTGACTAACAGAGGACTTACAGTAGCAGAGAATACTGAACTCCAGGCTGCTTTCCAGCAGCAAGTATTTTGCATATGAAGGAATTTCCACTCTTGGAACTCTCATATAAACTCTTCTTGTGCATTTTCCAAAAGTCTGAGCAGATCAGGATCCCCACCAACTTTCTGCAAGTAACAATTCAGTAGTCCCTGTTGAACAGTGCAATTAAACATGTCCACATTCAAACCAGCCAGCTCAGCTACCAGTATCCCTTTCAGCAAGGCACTGAATCAAGCAAGACGACTCACTTGGATGAGGAAAGAGGCATCTACATCTTTGTCTTCCTGCAGCTTCTCTTACCCCGTGCTGCTCCAGCATTCTTCTGCAGTGCTGTAGTTGGGACAACTGGGCTTGGCAGCCCCAGCATCACCATATCCTGCTTCAGCAGCTGCTGCATGTTTCCAGGTTCGGACACAAGTGCTGCTCCCATATCAACTTGTTAACAGTGAGCATCTGGGCTGCGTGTGGAAAAACTGCATGAAACAGGACTCTAACATAACCCCATCCACCTCACCAAATATGGCCAGAACTTTGATACAGAAATTCATCCCAAAAATCTGTCAAGAAAACAGATCTCGATATTGTAGCCCAGTAGTCGTGGTCAGGTCATTTTCTGCAGAATCCTAAGCAGTCTTTCAGGACCAGGGCTGCAGCTTTTCTCTATTGACCATAAGAGGAAAGCAGATGCTAATTTGATGGTTGCAGGCTATTCCCAAAGGTATGGGTTGAGAGAATATACATGACACAGCGTAACTTTAACTGTTTGGGAGGAGTGGAGAGACAGCTGGCTGAGCACTGTTGCAAGCTGAAGGAGACAGGACGAACAGCTCCATAAATCAAAACATTCCCCAGAAAAAGTTTTGTCTGCTTCTTAGCAGCTTCTCTCCCCTTCTTTGATGCTTGGAACAGCAGAACTAATAAACATGATAAACAAATTAAGGAAGAAACAGAAGTGAGCAGGCCAGATAAATCATTCCAGCTTCTCTGGCTCCAGGAGGACGTGAAGCTTCTACTGCCCAAGGAGCTGGAAAGAAGATCTGGGTCTGACTGAGTGCTTCCTGCCCTGCTGGCTGCACACCGCCTTCCCCGCATATGGGGAGATGCTTGTGGCAAGAAGGGAGATGCTGCTACAAACCAGCTGGTAAATAAAGCTCCTGAAAAGAAGTCTGGGAAAAATACTTAATAAGAAAAAAAGCAGACATGCACTGAAGAAAGGAGCAGCAAATAAGGACTGTTCTCCAGCTTAAAGCATTCAGCATATTTCAATTTTGAAAGTTCTCAGCATCACAAAGCACAAGAAATACAAGCTAGAAATACCTTACATATTTCTACTTCTGCTTTATTCCTTTAGCAATGAAAAATGTCAGGCAAGTGCTTAAAGTAGATTGACACATCTCCTCTAACTGGTACCAGAAAAAAAAAAAAAAAAAAAAAAAAAAAAAAAAAAAAAAAAAAAAAAAAAAAAAAAAAAAAAAGGAAGGAAGAATACAGTACAAATAAATGACAATTTTCACAATTAGTTTAGTTGATAAGAGCCTGTCATTATTTTTGATATTGAAATGTTTGATTTCTGTCAGCATACAAATATAACTACATATTTGCTACAGCTACTTATCACACCTTGAGAAAAACACCAGAAGAGCAGCAGCTACAGGACCAAGTAAGTGGCTGGCTTCAGCTTAAAGCACATTTTAAGTAAAGTTGAAAATTACATTACCCTGCTATAGCTCTTGGAAATAAAATATCATCTCTATGTTCTGTCAATGCAAGAGAAAAATTTGCATCTCTGATTTCTGCCTTGGGTTTTCACAAGAAAGAAGCAAGCTAAGAAACAAACAATCCAAGGAAAGCTGGTAGTGGTGCAATCTATCCACTCTATTTCCAAATCTTACACTTCTGAGTTGTTTGCTTGAGTTACAGTGCACCTCTCCCCTTTCACAAGCTGGGTGTTTAGAGTTTGAAGCCTGCATCCTCCTAAACTAAACTTCCAATTGTGGTCTATGATGAACTGCAAATAAAAATGAGAAAACCAATACTGATAATGTTAAAAAAAAAAAAGAAGTAAAATCCTCTTTGGAGCCTGCAGAAATCTTTCCTCAAGAAGGAGAAGAGTGGGGCTCGGTTCCTCTACTTTCTACTACTATCTATCTGCTTTAGCAATTCCACTCATACACGTGTTAAAAAGTGTAGCATGAATGGGTGTTGTGCTTCAATCACTTTGTAGCTCTTTCCTGAAGCTGCTCTCCATCTCATGTATCTGTAGAATTTCTGCACTTACGGAACAGCAGAGGGAGCCAGAAGTTCAAAGTCAGAGCACAGGGATGAAGCTGGATTCATTGGCTAAACTGAAGAGGAGAAAGGAGGGAGGGGGGTAAAAGGAAGAGAATTGCCACCCAAAATTACCTACTGAAGCAGCGAGCAGAACATCTCTTCTAGGTTGCTGAAACACAGATGGTCTTACTTTGCTACTGTAACAGCTCTCCTTTCTTCCAAGACAGCAGCAACAGAGGTTGTTTCCTCCATCAGAGAGAGGTAAGAATTCTTTGAAGTGTTTATTTCAGATTTATTAGATCTCAGATCTCTTTAATAAAGGTATCACTTTTGATTGTCTACATTTGTTCATCTTCACTTGCTGACAGATAATGATATCATTATTAATTCCTTTATGTTCTGATCTCCCTCTGTTTTGGATGATGTCAGCTCAGTGAGAATTCACCTGAAATTTTAACCTAGGACATGAGGCAAGAACTGTATATCTGAAATGTATAGGTTTGCTGAGTAGTTACTACATTCATACAATTCAAACAAACAAATTTTAGAAGAACATGAAAATACGGATTCAGAACAGTTCTGACATGACTTTTCATTCAGTAAACTATTATGGTAACAGGAAATAATGAAACACATTCAATTGGCATTTATATTTTAAAATTAGGTCACTGGAGCTGATGGGGATGTAGTTTAAATTGAAGATAAGCCATGGAATGAAAGCCTATGCCAGGTTGGATTCCTGAAAGCAAAGAATTCTTACACAGTTCTTCAGTTCCATAAAACTGTTGTGGATTTCTTGGTGGTTTTAAAACCATACAGAAACAAGGACGGAAAGTGAAGTGAACCTGATCCAAAGTCCACAAGGATCAATGAGCTCTGAATCCAGTCACAAGGCAAGGAAAAACAGTAATAAATACTTTGCTCTGTTTGTATACTTTTAAAGCTCTTTCCCTTACTGTGTTGCCAGAGAGAGCTTTGTCTCCTCCCCTAGACCTGAACAGCACCAAGCACTTCTCAATTAGATTTTAATACTGCCACAATAAACATTAACACAATTATTAATAGTAATAATTTAGCAAGAAGGTTTATAAAAGCAAGAGAGGCCACAATAAATACTTAACTTTATCATTCAGTGTAGATTAAGGCTGTGCAAACAATTGATTTGTCAGTGCTGGGCTGATACGGATTTGAGCTTGTAGAGGATGGGTGCTCCAAACCATTACTTTCCACTAAGCAGTGACAGTTTTTGACAGATGCGCCCAGTCTTGCTCATTTCTGCTGGTATTTAAACCATCTTTCAATGTTATAGACTTGTAACATATTAATTCACATGTCTTGTACCCCAGATCTTAGAAAAACTTAACATTAGCTCCTTCAGTAGCCTCTCCCAATACTTTTGGAATAGCAATTTAACTAAGAGTATAAAAAACGCTCACCAAGAAATCTCACTGTATCAAATGCTTTATGGATTTTGTATGGCTGTGGGATTTCTGTGCGCACTCAGTGATACGTGTCAGAGTTCTGTTAAATATTTCCAAATACTTACTTGTTTCTAGTTTAAAAGAGACAGCCCATAGCTGCTTTACTCCAGATAATTGTCATAGCTCTAAATCAGTAATACAGCCATTTGGCTGTAAGAGTTGTTTCTCTCATGAAGACTTATAGACTGGAAGCAGCAAACAGGGCTTGAGCTACCAATTAAGTTCTGAGCCAGACAAGTAATTGTGTCTGAGTACCAAATAATGAAGCCAAGAACTGCAAACGTTTTTTCCCTTCTACTTATGTCTAATGTAGGAAGTAACCCACACTGCCCATCATAGCTATACAGAGACTGACTCAAATGCAGAGAAGAGCTGGTGCTGGTCAGCTTTGCAAGGACAATCTGCCCTTTCCTGGGTAGCTGACAGAGTACAATGTCACCAGAATTCCCTTTCCCTCAAAGAATTTTTCTGGCACATATAGGATATGGCAGTCAAGCTAGGATATGGCAGTCAAGCTGATTATAGTTCGTTTTCAGTTTTTTCTTTGGGATATCCTGAGTGACTTTTCTTAGTTTAGAAGACTGTGTTGTTCAGTGAAGCACATCCTTCAGACTTCAGCTGCTCTATTTCCTTGCTTCCAAAAGAATGACAAATGTCTGTGAAGGAAACAAATGAAGAATTTAACAAAGATTAAGTCTGAAAGTTCCCTATTGTATTCTTCTGTATCCAGTAAAGTTGCTGCAGACTTTTGTGTCACCCACTTTTTAGAAATACCATCTCACATTGCATCAACTAAAGAAGACCTTGTTTTTGGAGCATGTTGATTTTCATAGCAGACCTCTTTCCTGAAGTTCATTGATGATTCTGAGCTGGTATATCCTTTTTTTCTTTAAAAACAAAGGAACAGAAATTCAACTCTTTCTCCCAACTTCCTCCCTGCTGATTTAGGAAGCTCATTGCTCCTGCAAGCCGAGAAAGTATTATTTCACTTTCTGAAGACAAAAGCTGTTGTCTTTGACCACAGTTTTTGTTTGTTTGTCTGTTTCTTATTTTGTTTTCTTTCTGTATTTTACTGAGTAATCAACATGCTTTTAATACAGTGAGGGGAGCCAGAATTCTTTTCCACTTGCACTAGTGATTCAGTTTGTTAGTCAGCACTTAATTCAACTCTCTAAACAAAGTGAGTCCATATTGATTATTATTGGTTTGTAACTTAGACCAACTGAATAGCATTAAATACCTTGAGATGACAGGTCTTGGTAGTGACTGACCCCAAGAATCTGTCATCTAGGGGTACTGTAACAGGATACATAGATATTAGGTCACTGAAATACTCACTGTTCTATTTTCCTAGAAATGTTTTTTACATGCTAGACACTGGAATAATAGATACAGAGAGCTGCACGCAGGTGATCTAGCCTCTGACTTTCCAAAGGAATCAGGTCCAACAAGCAGTTTCACATCTACTTAATGTACCAAAGCTTTTCTTGAGACACTCACATCTCATTTCCCTGCCTCATCCCCTAGCCTGTGATATGAGTGTGATAATTCATTATGAACCTATGGCATCACCATGAGAACACATGACTGGGAAGCGGTTGCCAATCATCTTGTGAGAACCACTACAGAATGCAATGCATTAAAAGAGATGCCTAACCCAACAAAATGCAGAGCCTTCAGAGGCACGGCAATACCATCTGCAACAAATACACAGTCACACTGTCTCTTTGGTGTTCCTCTTGGGAGCATGCCCCTTAAATCTGTGGGATCTGGTTTAAACTTTTACCTTGACGAGTGAACTTGCTCAGCAGTTACTGCTACTCCAACAGTGAGTCGCATCATACCATTTAATGTATGCATTATTATCTTTTCCATTTATTTTTCTGAAGCTCTGAGAAATTTATCACATTCTCACAGATTTGAGTAGCATCTGATTGCAGAGGAAGGGCTTGTGTATTGGGTAAATGGTATGAATCCCTGTGTATTTATTTACTTCTCAAGTCAGAAGTCTTCATACAGCCTGTAACTGCTTTTGATTGGATGAGAGCTCCCAGCAGGGTCAGAAACAGCACCCTGTGGACAGCACATACTGTTAGAACATTTGAACATTCTTAGTTATTAAGAACGAAATTCTGCTAAAAGAGGAATGTGGTCATGTGGAATTAAGAAGGGTTGTCAAATACAGCTATTCAGAAAGTCAAAATGTAAAGCCTGGAATATATTCCTGATAAGCTCTGTGATGGCCACACTGGCCACCCAGAGGGAGACATCAGTGCCTCATGGGCAATGGGGTTCATCCAGAAAGGGGAAGTAGGGAACTTGGACTGCAGTTCCCATGACCTATCACAGCTGTGTAGAAATGGAAAAATGTTGAAGTGATTTTGAATTATTTCAGATGCTTTCAAAATTGTCCCATATTTTCCCTCCTGAGGATACGAGCCTGAATTTTTGCATGGTGATACTGTCTCAAGCAAACGTGTGTTCTGGCTGCAAATACAATTTCAGTTTGCAGAGTAACTTGTATTAAAATATTTCGGTGTTAGCTTCGTGTATTAATATATTTTAATGTTTTCACGGATGTTTTACTTGAGTGACGGAACATGCCCCCAATAAAGTGCCTTTCACACAGCTGTGGATCAGTCTTGCAAATGCCCTGTCCACAGCAGGGACTCGGAACTTGATCCTAAGACTTGTTATGATTCTATGAAATACAAGATCATACATTTTTTTTTTTTTTTTTTTTTTTTTTACCCCTGGGTGTGTTTTGATCCAACTTTCTACTGAATTAGTAGCATTCAAGGTACTACTCTAAGTTGATATAAAACCCTGGGGATAACTTCACGCATGGCAAAGTCATATTTCAGTAGATTTGCACATATTTCCATACTATAGTCTAGCAAACCATTCCATTTCACAATCTGATTAGCCATATAAAAAGGAGCTGAAGAAATACAGAATTATTGCTTGCTTCTCTAACTTTCCCCCACTGCACTTTTGACTGATCTCTTGTAACATAACTAAGCAATCTTTTTCCTTTCCTTTGCAGACCTACCCAGACCTCCTGCAGTGAAATAGAACAGATAACTTTTTAGGCCAGCTCCAGAGGACTCTGTCTATGTTTGGTTATCACCTTTTTGGATAAAAATTTGGGGCCCAGGATGAATAAGACAAGGGCAGTTAATGATGCTTTTCCTTTCCTGAATAGTAAGAACTTGAGCTCAAATAGAAGCTTCCCCTCGCACCTTTCTAACCAGTGCAGGAATGTCACTGACCTTACTGTTTTTCTGGCCACCTCTTACAGTCTAGAGACTGTTCTAGGCATTGTGGGAAACATCTGCCTGATTGCTGTTATAGCCAGGCAGAAGGAAAAGACCAACGTCACCAACATCCTCATTTCCAATCTAATAATTTCAGACTTGTTTATGTGTCTTGTTTGCCTGCCTTTCACCGTTGTTTACACCATGATGGACTATTGGATATTTGGGGAGGTCATGTGCAAAATGACCTCTTTCACACAGTGCACATCTGTGACAGTGTCAATTCTTTCCCTTGTCCTTATTGCTCTGGAAAGACACCAGCTGATCATAAACCCAACTGGTTGGAGGCCAAGCATCTCCCAAGCCTATCTAGGAATTGGAGTCATTTGGACTTTAGCATGTCTCATGTCTCTTCCCTTTTTGACCACATCCATCTTGTCTAATGATCTGTATGAACAGCTCTCACACATAATGAATTTTTCCTATGACAAGGCCATATGCATTGACTCATGGCCTTCTGAGCAACACAGGCTTATCTACACCACTACTCTACTTCTTCTGCAGTACTGCATCCCGCTGTTCTTCATTATACTTTGCTATCTGCGTATCTACTTACGCCTACAGAAAAGAAAGGACATGTTTGAGAAGAATGAATACAGTAACCGAGCAGTTCAGTTAAGAAGGATAAATATATTGTTAGCATCCATGGTTGCTGCTTTTGCTGTTTGCTGGTTACCACTGCATGTTTTCAACACCATTGTGGACTGGAATTACAAGATCATTTCACCTTGCCACCACAATCTGATCTTCTCATTGTGCCATTTGGTAGCCATGGCTTCTACCTGTGTCAACCCTGTCATCTATGGTTTCCTCAACAGCAACTTCAAAAAAGAAGTGAAGTCATTGATTCTGAGCTGTCAGCATAATTCAGTAACTGCATCAATGGAAGAATATGATCATTTACCTTTATCCACTATGCAGACAGAAGTCTCCAAGGGCTCACTGTCATTGAATTACAGACATAATTCTATCTAGCCAGCAGAAAGCACTTCAGAGGTTGTACTGACACCACACAGCAGTCATACCTGCAGGTATAAAAGCAACTGGTGATGCCAAATCTGGAATGCAAACAGGAGCCCACTGCTGCCTGATTTTTGTAAGAACAAGCAAAGAAAGTTAGTAAATGCATTCAGTAGCTCCTGGGATGTGCAAGGTGTTTGTGTCTTTGAGGAGGTGCAGACTGGTGAACAAACAGCTGCTCTGCCAGCTCAATAGATAAGCCATGGTGCACATAGACTGACACCGGGTCTATCGTCTACGTTCACATCTCCAGCATGGCTGAGGTAGAACCTCATGCAATCAATGTTACCACTGCAGGCTGCCAAAGCTGCGTTCACAAAGGCTTCATTTTTCAGTATTAAGACTTTTTATGCACTGATGACACACCAGGGAAACATAGACATGTAAATATATATGTTTTTTTGAGCTTTCCTAACTGACAAACCATTAGCATTCAGCAGATCCAGTTTGCATCAAACGGCTGGAGGTCAGTCTGGAACTTCTCCCTCTTGTCACATGGGCTTGGAAATTGCCATTGCCCTCAGAACTTGGGGCAAAGAACAAGAAAGATGAAAGTTACTGAAAGAGGAGCAGTGGGAAATGAAAATATTACTTTGCAGGTTAAGCTCTTGGAACACGTTGACATGATGGCAGAACGCTGTTTTCAAGCAAATGAAAAACAGTTGCAGATCTGCATGGAAATGAATCTGGTTGGTTTTGCAATTCCTGCTGCTGGCAGTTACAAAGCTCTGCAATGTTGGAAGCGTACATCATGATGAGAAAAGGTGACTGTATTACTGTAGCTGCTTCATGCCTCGGTAGCAAGGTTTCACTTCTGCTTCAGCAGCAAAATACTCATTAGTTCCTTGGTGCTCTAATTGTATCTAATTCAGAAAGTCTGAACATGCATGAAAAGCTGTTCAAAGAAGCCTTGTATTTTCAGAGTGTGTATAGTCCCAAAGAAGTAAATATACACATGCAGACCATTTCCTATTAACATAAAAGTGGATATCAGACATCAGTTCCACTCACTGGCAGCAACAACAAAGATAGTGCTGAATAAGAGTACATAACTGGAATCCAGGTCAGGTGGAAACACAAACCTTAAGGCCAAGCTACATGTAAATAAGTAGTACAGTAAGGAGATGTTGCTCAGTGACTGCTGAGGAAATAAAGAAAGTTCATACTGAGGAAAAAAAGATAAAGAAGAAAGTGAGAAGTTCATTGTAAAAATAATAATAATAATAATAAAGAAATATGGAACTGTATTCTGCCCTGTGCTTTTAAACTAACCTTAGCAGTAGCTAAGTGATTTGCTTGTGATTTGCTTTTGCATCTTCCTCAATTACTTGTCAAGACATTTTTGCTTCTTTCACGTGGCTTTCTGCTGCATCTTCTGTTGTTTGTTTTTTTTTTAATTACCTCTTGTTTTTCTTGGTTCTTTGTATGCAGCGTCACTTCTAGACTGGATATTATGCCCATTAGAAGAAATGCAGAACAAGGGGACTCATTTTATCTTATCCTGAATTAGAAGTTTTCTAGCTTTCTGTTGTAGATGAAAGCAGAGCTGATACAACTTTGCAATGCTGAGTAGTAAAAATAAATTAACGTCTCATAAACAACTTCACTCTTACCAGAACTGTGTTGTATTGAGTGCATGAATACCAATTAAATTTTGGAGTGTTTTTATATTCAGGGTTATTTATCTGATCAGTTGAGTAATTCTGCCTGTTCTGTGTGCTTGTTACAATTTCAGCACCTAACTAATGTATGTCAAGCTATAATAAGAATATCCTGCTCAACATGAACACAGAAGACTATGATTTATAATCCTACATATAGAGTTTTTTCAAGCATCACTCTCTTAAATGGAAACAGCTATCTTCAGAGTTTTTCTTCTCAGAAGTGTGAATCTTTGCTGTAAGATCTAAATCTGAATGTTTTTGTGGAGAAGTATCAGCAGGGTCTGACTCTCCTTTGAACTGCAACTCATGCTGCCATTTGTACCCACACAAAGCAAACCAATCCAATTTTACAATAACCCACACTTACGTGAACAGGAATGTGGCTCCCTCCAGTGAAGACAGGAAATATCAAGTCTGGAATAGAGTATTGTTTATCACTAATGGACTTGGTACTGGGTCGACACTAACTCCCACCAAACTCTGCTTAAAGATACCCCAGGTAACAAAAACTTTAGAGCAAATCCAGAAAATGAATCTAGGTTATAAAGGGCTGACTATCTGTGTCATATGTAAGTTCTATCTTTGATTATACACTGGGCATCATGCTCTCACAAGTAGCCAGGACACAAACAGCACTTTTATCATCGCTCCTCCATTTTGCAGGGACATAAGGGTGCACAGAATGTAGCCGTGCACAAAAGCAGTAGAAAGTAATATGCTATTCATTGTTGTGAACAGCTCTAGCAACTGTTCCTTGTTCCCATTGAAGGCAAAAGCACTCAGTTGGATGTAATTTTGTCTGCGTGGATGTTGAAAGCCATTTCATTTGTTGCTTTGAGGCTTTCATGCAACCAAGTGGAAAATCTGTCTCTTTAGTCTCAGAAAAAGGTAACAGGAAAAACCACAAAAACACCAAAACTTACATATATTTTACCCATCTGCAAATGTGATCTTGATTAGTTATTTAAGAATTTTGTTATTTAAGAATTTTTACCAATTTTGTGTTCATTGTACTACAACAATACTTTTGAGTACACTCTTTGAAAAGCCTTGCTAGTGAATCACAAAGGTAATTTAGGAGAAACATGCTTAAGTAACAAATCACTTCATGGAATTTTAAGACTTTATCATAACATTTATTTTTTATAAGAAGGCTTTTAATGATCCTGCACCTGTGATGTAGTTCAAAAAGATTGGAAGATTTTCAGAGCAGAAAAACAACTCGTTACTGTGATATAAGCAGCACGTTTTTAGGAACCTAGTAGTAACAAATAAAATTCTATGGTCTGTGTTACTTTGTTTCTGCTTTTATAAAATGGCGTTATACTAATCACAGTATTAAATACAGAAGATTTAGTTCTCAAATAGAATTTATGAAGAGAAAACAGAAGTTGCAACACATGATAAGTGTCAATGGTATGTGAAGGATTAAAACCTTGATGCATTACTCCCAGGGACATACAGTAGTATAGCACAGCCAACTAAGGAGGAGATGACAGGTATCAAAAATTCACCATGGGACACCTGAATATTCTGACGCCAGGATGCAGCTCAGCTTTACAGACTTGGCAGATTGCCGGAGACGGGGCTCTACACAACATACTGTCCCAAACTGAAGTCACAGACACAACCAGAAGAACCAAGACTGCCAAGAGCCTACAGTAAGTGAAGACATCACATCATGAGGACCCAAGAAGAAGCTCTTGATTCTTTTACATTGACCTGTGAGTCTCCTTGCATTTTCCACCTGACATTTCTTTCACAGAAAGACAGTTCTCTTCAGAATTTCTAGTGGCCGGATTTTCAGGGGATACTGAACATTAATATCAGCATTGTTGCTTATTACCACTGCTTATTATCCACATAGCTTTTATAACTTTCCCTCGCTATCTCAGTTTGCTTAACAAAGCCATTTCTTTGAACTCAGGAAGTCATAAGCAGAATACTAAGAATACTGAGATAAAGCTGAGATTTGTACTTTTGTATAATACCTTTTCCTGCCAGACAATGCTAGTTAAGCCTTAGTCTGAATTTCCAATCTTATCCTGTTCTTATCTTTCTGATAACCACTCAATAAACTTGAAGTCCAGTAGCAGCATAGAGACTGTATGATAGAAATCCAGGTTGAAACTGAACGCTGATGGTTGTTGATTGTTGTTTTTCAGAAATCAAAAACTTAAAAAATATATATTTAGTTATGGTACACAGAAAATACAGCACTGCATAGTTTTTTCTTTTTTAGTTAACTGGCAAAATATGGTGGGTTATGCTAGACACAGTGACACCAACATAATAATACATTTTTACTGTAGGATTACACCAATGCAAGTACAGCTTACTTTTACTAGACTCAAGACATCCCTGGTAGTAGAAAGATAGCTTTTGGCAGTCGCAAGCTACGATAACATGCAGAACATGAAACTTGCACTTTAACCCATAAACATGAAGGTTTGTTTTGTCCCTAAGGCTCCAGCTAAACATCTCTGCTCTCTGAATGCAATAATTATAGCTCATGAATTATTGTGCCCTCTACCCAGACTGTAGGAATACAAAGCCTCCCTGTCAACAGCTAGTGGGCAAACACTGCTTCATCATTCAGATATATTACCTTGATTACATTTTATTCTAGCATGACTGCAAGCAGAATGCACTTATCCCATGCTATGCCCTTGGTGAGATAACTGCCACTGATTCATTTGCTTGGTAGGTTGACTTAATGACTATAAATAACTCTATGTAATACTAAGTATTTATTTCACTTAAAGGCAGACAGACAGTAGAAGAGGTACTGATGTCCTAAAGACCAATTTCTGAAAAACAGAGAGACAGCTGAAAAATACCAGAAAGTTCTGGTATCCTCTGCACTTCTGTTAAACTCACAGCAAATATATTCAAATGGGGAACTTTGTTAAAAACAACAGCAAAGACATTGACTGGTTGAGGAGCATAATGTGCATGCGCCCTCTGCCCTGTGCTTTTGGGAAGACTGATGGGATTCAAAGACAACAGAAGCTGGCTGACACTTTTAAAACTGACAAGATCATCCAATCACACCATTTCCTCATGCATTCAGCATGAATCTAATTCCATCCACCAGAGCTACAGCTAAACTGTTGCAGATTGTGAAGATTTCTTTCACAACAACCCACATTTCCACCAGCTGTGTCAGAAGTCCCACACAGCACAATGCACACAGGCATGCACAATTTCACACCAAGTGAGGTCATCGTCACCAGCAGACCAATTGGGATTATTAATCCTGCTGGCCTCTGGCACAGTTGCTTTCCCTCAGGAATGCTCTGTGAAGTACAGATCTTTACAGGATGAATTTAATCCCCACGCATTGCAAAACAGGTTTCACAGCAGTGCAGTTGTGTTCTCTGAGTTGCTTACATTTAGGCAAAGATGTACTGCTAAGGAGCACCTTACCATTGCTGGGAAGGAAGAAGGGATCCATCTGGCTGAAACAAGGGGAAATACTCTATCTGCACTCAGAGCAACAGGCAGTGTATTTGCTAACAATGTATCTTGATCCAGTTCATTTCTCTGTACTGCAAAATCAGTGTTTTATGGTCCAAAATTGCAAATGCTAAGCTGTAAGTGATAACAATAGGCAGCTTTGCGGTTGAAACTATTTCCACCAATCAGTTTTCCACAAACCACAAATAGTTCAAACTACAACATGCAGAGCATTCCAGGATTCATGTATATAATTACCATACCATTTCCCAGGATCAGGGGTACAGTATATTATATATATTTTAAAATAATCCATAAAAGCATCCACATCCGAGACTGTAGAGCACACATGAAAGTAGAATTGTGACTGGTCTGTAGCTGAATGCTATGATTGTGTGCAGCACAGAACAGCAAATAAGCTTCTCCTAAGTATAGTAAGAAGAAATGTGCTTTTACTTCAACTATCTTGCCCATGGCAGGGAAGGTGGAACTAGATGGCCTTTAAGGTCCCTTTCAACCCAACCACACCATGATTCTTTCTTAACATCATTTTTTAGAAACAGGATTCTAATGAAAGATGTGGTATTGGGTGTCTACACATACAGAGAATATGTGAGTGTAAAGAACAGACTTAAACCTCCTGCATCTAGGAGACTGTAGAAAGTATTTATTAGTTTTTTAAACTTGGAAACAAATTAATTGATGCTGTTGCTATGACTCAGCCAACCGCTAGGCTGGCTACACAAACTTTTGTCTGAGTGGTCTGCTATTACAGTTGGAGAACAAAAATAAGCAGTGTGATGCTTATTCTGAGTGTGCTTATTTGTAGCAATACTATATTTTATACTTAGAATATGTTTAATATCTCCTTTTACAGCTAACATAAACTAATTATAGGCATAGGGCCAATAAGTAGTAACAACACCAAGGAATACATACTCTTTATCAAACTTATTTTTCAGTGACAGTTATTTCTATTGAAGAAGACATCAGCAAATGTTTTAATAGAAGCTTACAAATCACAATAGATTTCATGTGCAGCAGAGAAAAGACAGCTCAGAGCTCTAAGATTAGGCACCCAAATCCCAGAAGGAGATCCTTGATAGTTCCTAAAACTGTTTTGAAATCTAACAGCAAATGCAGCTCCAAGGTGACTAACTAAGGCCACAGCTGAGCAGGTGCTGAACCCAGCCCTGCATTTACTATCCAGCCAGCTTCATGAGTCTGAAAACTGCAGCCCTGTGTCTTCAGGAGTAAAAGAATTGAAAAGAAGATGGGGCTGCACAAGGTGACCCAAATACAAGCAGGCAAACAATTAGGACATTCATCCTTCCTGGAGAGTCACTTGATTTTGTAATTAACTTAGCTTGAATGAGTTCACTTCTCACAGCCTCTGAGGAGTACGTACCTGTGCAGAACTTGCTGGATATACTTTCAAGCAATTTCAGTTCTTCTTGGTTAACTGTTAGCTCACTACTCAAGTGCACTGAAGGAGGCACACGTGATTCTGCATACCCATACAGGAAAAGCACCCAAGAGGTAGCGTCAGATGAAGACTGACTTTAATTACTATCAGGTAATAGCCATTCCTGCTTTCAGTGAGACATCGTAAATCAGTATGCAATTACAAACTGTTGTGTTCTTGAATTGTGCCAGTGTCTTTCCAGCTCTCTCTATTCACTTGTTCATCACTCCATGAGACATGGCAGTGCATCCCAGGAGAGCTGACAAATGGAAAACTGAACAGATAAGCATTTAAAAATAAGAAAAGCCCACAAACATTTGAAAAAAAAAAGTTATTTTAAACCTTGTCCTGTCATTGATCCAGTTAATGCTGCATCACTGCAATTAAAGAGACAGTGACGTTTCAGCATGTGAACAAGCAGGGGGTTGAGAACACTGGGGCCTGGGATTCCTTAAGCCAACTGTTCCACTGAAGTCAGTCTTGCGACCCACTAAGCCATCAATCATGTTGTTCCTCACCCACTGAGGAACAACATGAACTTCCTGAGCCTCATCTTTCAGGCTACTTTGCAACCACTAGCAGCAGCAAGTGTGGTACTGGGTACTTTCACAGCAGAACACCACCACAACCTTAATGAGATATCCCTGCAGCTGCTCAGTGCATCCCAAACCTTCAGGGAATGGAGTAGATGCATCAACCAGCAAAATGTCAGCTTATCTTTTTTCCTCCTGGGGTATTATTTATTTATTTATTTTAAAGCTTTTTGTTCTTTTCCCCTGAAGCTGCCCTGATTAGATAGCACTAATATCATTAAGCTAAATTGGTTCCTTGGGAGATGTCCCAATTAAATGGCTATCCTAATTAAGCACATCCTGATTAAGCAGAAGAACCTATAATTATAATAATAGCATGTAATAAAAACTGACCCATAGTTTTGTTCAGACAGAAAGCATTTTGCACACTTTCTTTACAAGGAACAACTTTATCCAGGATTAATACACAGCCAGCTCCTGAGTGAAATACTACCTCTGTTTAACAACAGTTGGTATAACTGAACAGTCTTTCAGGGCAAAAAAAATGAATACTGCACCATACTGACAACACAAACAATATAATCACAGAATCACAGAATCACAGAATTGTAGGGGTTGGAAGGGACCTCCAGAGATCATCGAGTCCAACCCCCCTGCCAAAGCAGGTTCCCTGCAGCAGGTCGCACAGGTAGGCATCCAGGCAGGTCTTGAACATCTCCAGAGAAGGAGACTCCACCACCTCCCTGGGCAGCCTGTTCCAGTGCTCCGTCACCTCACTGTAAAGAAGTTCTTGCGCATGTTTGTGTGGAACTTCCTATGCTGCAGTTTCCAGCCGTTTCCCCTTGTCCTGTCTCCACTCATCACTGAAAACAGTCTGGCCTCGCCATTCTGCCCCCCACACCTTAGATATTTATAGACCTGGATCAGGTCCCCTCTCAGTCTTCTTTTCTCAAGGCTGAACAGACCCAGATCACTCAGCCTTTCCTCATAGGAGAGATGCTCCAGGCCCTTCACCATCTTCATGGCCCTCCGCTGGACTCTTTCCAGAGATCCTTGTCTTTTTTGTACTGGGGAGCCCAGAACTGGACACAGTACTCCAGATGAGGTCTTACCAGGGCAGAGTAGAGGGTGAGGATCACCTCCTTCGACCTGCTGGACACGCTCTTTTTAATGCACCCCAGTAAGCCATTGGCCTTTTTGGCCACAAGGGCACACTGCTGGCTCATGGCCAACCTGTCATCAATAATGATAAAGCAGAAGGCACTTAGGCTGCAACTGGGGCTGAGTATCTTTCCTACTCTCAGCAAATATATCCCAATCCTATGTTAGTACTGTTAGCACCATGGACTTTCCTCAACTTGAGAAGAATGTAGCATAAGAAGGTGGGTACAGTACAGCCCCATTTAGGTTCTAATGCAGAAAAACTATCAAGTCCATTTTTCCCCCCAGTGAGTGGCAAATCCAAGCTCTGTAGCTATTGCAAATATATGGCATATTTTCTGAGTACAACTGCGCCAAGGGGAATTCCTACTGTGTGTTTTGGACGCCTTTTGTGTTCCAGCTTGCATAGCTGTATTCTGTTGTCCCAGTTCCTCTAAGGACAGCTCCATTTTTCAGTTTGTCCTATACAGCACTGCAGAGATGTTAAGTGACCCTTACTAAGCAATGAGAGCTGGACAAACAAATCTGAACAAACATGTAGTTATTAAAATCTTTTCTTTGGCCTCAGTGTAACAAGGAGTCAGCTGGGAACCTCACATGCTCAGAATTGTTAGCTGATAAAGACTGACTTAACATGTACGTATACAGCTGTCAACAGGCAAATTATCAGTAAGCAGGAAAATTAGAAAAAAACACAATGAATCTTTATTTCAGGGAATATTTCCAGTAACTCTATCCCTCCCCAATTGTCCTGCTATCATCACATCTGAACACCTCAGTTCTCAAGAGATACTGCAATATCCCTTTATATAACACTAGCTCCAGTGCTTCAGCTAGGGCTGAAGTTTTAATTGGGTGGACATGGAGGCCTAATGCCCCTCTGTGGGTGTACACAACACAGAAAAGTGTTAAAGTTGCACCACAACTCCATGTCGGAGACCTGAAGCCAACTTCTTAGGGATCAGTACAAGATTTTACAGTGCATTTCCCAGAGAATCATTCCCCAGTCCCTTGTTTGTGCTGTACCAAGCCTGCTGCTGCTCTCCCACAGAGAACTGCTTTACCCATAGCATATGCAGATTGTTCCTGAAGTAGTTTACACTAACTCTTGACCCATCCATCCCATTTTAGTATTCTCAGGAACGCCAGCCATTTGGTTGGATTTCCATTACCCAAAACAGGCTTGAAAGGCCAAAATCCCAATGAACCTTCTCAGTATGAATGGCATTTTCACAAATCATATAAAAACAATGAAGTCTTCAATCTGTTTAGCATCTTGGAGTAAAATCAGCAGCAGTAGTATTTGTCCCCAAGCATATAAGTAAGTTGTACTCCATTTTGTTACCTCATGCAAGTGCAGAAAGAAAGATTGATGGTTGGACTAGATGATCTTATTGGTTTTTCCAAATTTGAAGATTCTATGACTGTTACCTAGTATGGAAAAGACTCTCTGAGAGAGTAAGGAAATTCACTCCATTCTGATCCAAAAATCAAGTTAACCACTTACTTTTTTTCTTATTAGGAATAATAGTGTAGCACAGATTTGCAAAGGATGAGATGACTAAATTTGATAACCAGAAATTACTGCCAGAAAGGTGGTATGAAAACTCAGACAAAAATCAACCCAGTGCTGCTCAACAGAGGAGAATCCAATCATCCACACCTCTCAGCAATGAAAGAGCTGCACTACTAAATACATTAAGTTCCTTTCCAAAATAGAGACACAAATAATTCAAACATTTGTAAGTTTAGCTTCAGTGTTATATAGGATTTCTAAACATGAGCAGAGGAAAGGTAAAATTTGAGTCCTGGAGGTAAAGAGACAATGCATATTAACCATAGGGAGCATTTGCAAGATTAGCTGGAATCTCTTACTGGTGATCTCACTTACTTCATTTGAGCATGGTAGCATAGCAAATTCAGAATGCTACACCATAAAACTTAATAGAAAATGCAAGGCTGTAACAAAGAGCCTGATTTGCTTTTTAAATAAGCTGCATGAAAGAGAGCAGAAAGCTCAGAAGCCTGATACTGCCAAGGGTAAGGGAAAACGTTGCCATCTCAGAACAACATGGCTCATAACATGAGGCAGCTGTGAGAAGGAAAAACACAGTCATCACAAGGCAACAAATTTGCAATACTTGACAGATGTGCTGTTGTGTAAGGACCTCATGCAAAATGCAGCGTACAGTTATCCTAGTTGAGGAAACAGCTACAGAAACCAGGACAAAATGCAAAGTGACATTAAGTCAGAGGAATAGAAAATGAATGTGCCTAAAAGGCCAAAAAGAGCTATTTATTTAGACTACAGTTACAGATTACACCTTCATTGAGCAGATTAAGTCAGAGAAAGAAATGATACTGAAGGTAAATGGGCAATATTAGCACAAAATTAGCACAACTACTATAGGGCTGGAAACTGGAAGGCTTTGGTTGAAGCCATGTCATTTAAGAATAAAGCCTGTTTAGCTAGTAAAAGAGCTTACCTGGCGCTGTAGCAGATGATAGCTGTGCACCAGCCCTAACAGTCCTATGTTCTGCTGGCAGGTGGTTGGGACATCAAACAGTGCCACAAGCTCAGTGCAAACCCTGCCTACAGTCTTCCTCCGCCAAGTCATTAAGCACTCAGCACCTTCGTAGGTTTTCTCTGATGCATGACAAGAAAGATACCAGTTTTACAGAAGCCACCTGTGGGCAAGCTTCCCCAGAACAATTCCATTTCAGAATACCCACCTCTTCAGGGATCAGTATAAGTCTCTCAGCAGTAGCCCAGTAATCACATCCTTTTCCCTCCCAGTAAGTGCAAGAGATTCAGATTTTTCTTCTTCAAAATAAATTCCTTTTAAACCAAACCATAACAAGTTTCTAGACCACCAGATGAATATCACTCTATGTATCAGGTGCTTCAGAACAGGGCTTTGAAATAAAACATTAGATAACTTTTAATTGTTGTTGAAGACCTAAATACTTCATGGGAAAGCACACTAAGCTTTCACAGTAAAATAGTTTCCTGCTTCTTTTCAGACCCTCTTTCTTCAGCAACTCACCTAGGAATCCAAAGCCCAGCCCTTAAAACAGCACAAATGAAGAGCAAATCTTCTTGGACCTTTCCTTGCAGTTACTGCTTGAGCTTAATTACCTTGAATTGAAATTACATGAAGCTTGATTTTCTCTCCTTGTGTCAGGTGATGATTTAATACTCAGGTCTTCCCAATTAGTTGCGATCAACATGCTTCCTGATTTTAAGACTGTTTTTAACATTAAATAAGGCACTAAAAGAAATTTATACTTTAAAGTCAATTTTCTGCAAAGCACGAGGCACTTCTGGAAGCATCAAGAATGCCTCGCAACAATCTTGGAAGTGGGGCTGAGGTTAAGATAGATCAAGTGGCAGCCGCCCCAGTAGGGGAGGCTGGAAGAGCGTTTTATTTTCAAAAACCTATTTCCAGGCACTCTAAACTTTCCCAGACTTTGGGAATTAACATTTGGCTGAATTAAAACCATATTTTTGCTTCTATAAATCAACAGAGCTCCACTAGAGTTAGTGAAATACCTTTTGCTCCTGTGAGTGGAAATGGCCTCTGCCACCCAGCCAAGCTGGGGGGGGGGGGGGGGGGGGGAGATGGGCCACCATGGAGGGACTGCCCAGGCTCCACCAGCTGTGAAGCATCCTGAAGAACACCTAGTTAGCAGGATCCTTCGTTCTGCACTTAGGCATCCTAAATTGGGAACTCAGGCATGAACAAGCAGGCTAATTTTTTCCACGTACACATCATCAAGTGCACCTGTGTTACAAGCTATTTTTGTTCCGTCAAAATGGCAATCATTTTCTGCCTACTGTAAGTTGGATTCTGCTAGATGATCCCACAGCTGCTGAGAATTTTTTTCCTTAAATCAGGGTTTCACTTTCAAAATAGCCAACTACTTTACAATTTGGGAGTAACATTAAAGCATAAAATGTTCTTCACGTGAATCTGCTGAATTTTTCTCTAGGTGACCTTTTTTTATTTCATGATGTAAAGACCAAAGTTTTCTCCTCCTAATGCTTCCACTCTTGTAGGATGAACAAAGGCTAATGTTTCCATTATTATATTACAGAAGGCATTGTGCAGGTCCTGCTCTCTTCAACAGGCCTTCTGTTACATTGTAAGAACTTCAAAATTCAAGGTGACATTTCCTGCCTGCTTTACACACCTTGGCAAAATGGAGCCCCATTCCTCCATGTGCCATGACAAAAATGCTGTTGCTATAGCAGTCGTCTTGGGAACATGCACAAAAGACAAGAAAAAGATTTTCTTCTGTAATAAAATGTCAGCCAACATGAACTAGGCATTTAATTTGAGTTTCCCACTGACCAAGGCTCAGATTTTGGCAGGTCTGGTACTCAGGAAAAGCATGACCTTCTGATCCTGTAGCCTGGGTGTGTTAAAGCAGAAGTTGAAGCAAGCTCCATCTAGCCTATGAGAAACCATGCAGGACAGTCACACAACACAAGCTACAGGAAAAGCAGGATGCAGTGAGTGACCTCCCACAGGTTGCTCTGGCAGGTCCTCACAGAGAGTCCCTTCAGATTGCCGTAGTTCAGAATTCGCTTCTGTTTGTTTACTATGATAAGGACTTCATACTCATACTCTTATTCATTACTACATATGCTTAGCCTCCACACCTCTCACTTAAGTCAACTGTGCACTTCACTGCATCCATTCATACATCATGGTATTGAGAAGACGTTGGCTGGACCCCAGCATACCAAGTGAACTTCAACTAAATCCATAGTCCTCAGTTCTCAGTGCTTGAAAATTCACCTACCAAGACTGGAGCCCAGACAAGCTGGGATGCTAATGAATCCTTGTAAAGTGAGTTATTTCTGCAGTAAGCTTTTGATTTTCTTTGCACAAAACATCAAAGTCTCACTGATAACTGCGTGCTGAAATTAACAAGAAACATGAGTTTGTTTTTTTAACTGCCTTACTTTAGAGGAAAATGGGAAATATTTTAAGAGCTATGTTGCAAGTCTAGCCTGAATGTCTTGACCGCTGGGATTACTTAGCCTTAACCCTAGATGTAGTAACTTCACCCTGTCTTTGAGGCAGAAATGTTGTTCTTGGGAGGATGCCCATCTCAGCATAAACTTTTGAGGCTTCAGAATATAATGTCTTCAGTGATCTCCAGGTGAGGAAAATGTCCCATTGATTAATATTACATCTCAGAAAGGCTGATACCATCATTCATTAAACTGACTCACAAGCAAGTATTTAATTTTTTTTTTTTTTTTTTTTTAATTGAAAAAGGTCATCAGCTCTCACAACATAGGGCTGTGGTGTTGTTGAACTCTCAGTTCAACCCACAACCCACAGAACCCACAGGCTATTTGCAGACATAGCTATTTGTCGTGGCAACGTTGTGCTGCTTCATTTCACTGGTGAGCAGGAGGAGGTGAGCCTGCCAGGCCTTGCAGGTTATTTGCTGCATTGTCACCTTATCAGATCTATCACAACAGGGCAGTGAAGGTCACCTTCGGACTTGAGGAAAAATGTAAACACAAATAACTTTATTTATACACAAGTCCTTGAAAACGGATGTTTACGAGCAGAGGTAGATTTGAGAGGTATGTGATGCTCAGTCAAACATCAGAACTCAGTTCAGAAGACTCAGGAGTTGATTCCAAGTAGGCAGAAAGGCAAATCTTGCTGCAGTTCTACCCAATGGTACAGCATTTTCCATAAAAGATCAAACTCAGTTACTTGAGTCAGAGACCTGAAGTCAAAATAAAGTTGTACCACACGGTGAATTCTGCCATATCAGCTTTATAAACATCCCTTACCTTTCAGCAAACTAGTGTCTGTCAAAACTTTCAAGTGAGGATTTCATTTTACCTAGAATTAAATGACCACAAAGACAGCACAAACTCTCCGGACATGCTGCTGTACTTACATGGGAAGAGAACACAGACCTATTTTTTACTCATCTCACTCAAGTCAGTTTTAGGCTAAGATGGAAGTTGTTTAGAGACTGCAAATATTTGTCTGGATCCACAGTAAAAGTGTGAGAAATAGTTGGCAATGTACTGGCCTTGGACCCGGGAAACTGCGATTCTGCTCCTCAAGCATCCCAGGTTTCCTGCGGGAAAACAGTGCAGCCAAGCTCTGCTGTGGGGAGCAGCAACAGTTTCCACGTCCACTCAGCTCCTCCCTCTAAAACTGAGGTAAAATGTAACAGGAGTACTAGGATGAGAAACACAAACCAGTATTCAGACACCATGGTAAAAGTGCTATGTATACACTTCCAGATAACAGCAAGAGATGTTTGTTCTACATGATAATCATTGTGACATCCCAAACTCACTGCACCGCATTCATTTATCAGCAAGACACTACCATAAAAACATCATGCCTTCCAAGCACTATGACATTCTCTTCCTGCAGATGGCTGGAAATGTTCTTAGATACAATATGTGCAATTAGCTTGCTGATGAAATTAGTGCTCTGAAATGGTTAGTTTTATAAATGTCCATGTTGCTCCCCTTGTGGTTATTACTGCTTTAACCTCTTCGAGACCTTGGCTGAAAGCATCTTCTCAGGATTGCATTACTGAAAGGGCAAGTCAGGAAAAAACATATCCCAGCGCAAGTGGAGAGGAAAGATGGTGTTCCAGGGAGAATGATTTCCCTGTGGCTCAGACAATCTGTGGTCTGATCCACTGCTAACAGACAAGTATTTCCATTTCTGCTTCAGCAAAATAGGGATGGTGCTACTGACTGCCCTGGCTTCTGGCCAGTTACCACTGGCTTCTGGCTCTATCAATAGGACACATTTCTGAGAAATTTTCAAAAGACCTGAGCATGTAATACTAATGTATTACTAATGAGTGAGGAGAAAATCACCTGGGTCTGGTTACAAACATGACGTTTAAAATGGCTGTCAGTGGGTGAGGTTCTGCTAATTCATCACCAACCCAGGTCAGTGCCAGAGTGAAGGAAGTCCCTGTGGCCTACTAGGGCAGCATGTAGCTACAACAGCAGATAAAGTGGATCATTAAAACAAATTCTAAACCACTTGTTTTCTGCACAGCTAACTCTACCACCTGTCCCATACATTGTGTGGTATTTCTGGTTAAGCTGAGTTCTGAAGAAGGAGCTTCCCCTTAACTTGCACTTGTGCAATGCGTAGCAGCAGGAGGATCTGATCCTCAATGTATGCAGAGAGATCATAACAAATGTTTCAGCAGTTACAAAAAGAAAAGAAAAGAAAAGAAAAGAAAAGAAAAGAAAAGAAAAGAAAAGAAAAGAAAAGAAAAGAAAAGAAAAGAAAAAGAAAAAGAAAAAGAAAAAGAAAAAGAAAAAGAAAAAGAAAAAGAAAAAGAAAAAGAAAAAGAAAAAGAAAAGAAAAGCAGTCAACTGCTGCCTCCAACCACGGCAGTTCAGCAGGGCTCCCTCGTCACAGTAGTATATGCAGATCTACTTTGGTGAACTTTTCCATCTTCTCCTGTTTCCTGCAGGGGTATTATCTGTGCTTGCAAGGATTCAATTAATGCCATTGATGTGGAATGTTGTTCCATTCATCACCAGCCACTGCATCTAATGAATAGGATAATCTAATTCTCCCCAAATAAATATGACACCAAATTAAAAGAGTTCATAAGCAGCCTCCAAAATGGAGTGAGTTTGTTTCAATTTATTGCATTTTAAATTACACTGGATCTCTCAAGTACCAACCTCATATAAACAAGTGAATGACTGAGGCTGAATGTTTATTATCACAAATGTTTGCCTCTTCTATACCAGAACTGAGTCTTAGTATTAGATGGAAGAACAGCTAACAGAAGGTCATCCAAATGCCACAGTTTTTAACCATGATTTTTCTAAACCAGTGAGAGAGTTTTAAAGCACAATGCACTCACAAAAATTATTTTTCTTGTTTTTACTGTCATCAAAACATTTAACAAAGTGGCTACAACCTACTGATATAATATATGAAAAGTTCACCAAAAAAGTAAAAGAAAAAAGTAATAATGCTCACTTGGTACTTGGCTAGTTTAAGAAGAGGTTTCTCTCTATCAGTAAAAAAACTCACACCAGCAGCTCTTCCAGCTTTTTGTCAGGTCTCATTTCCTTTGGGAAACAGCAGTTACTCAGATGATTGCATACATGAAGACA